TCAGAAGATCATAAAAATATCATATAAATTTATAACTAATTTTGTGATGGTGGGATTATTCAATTTTGTGCTTTAAAATCCTTTATATCTAAATGGCATATGGCCATTATCTTTAGAACTAGTGAAAATTATCTTGACATATTTTACTTACAAGTAAAGGAAAGCCTAACTTTGACAGTGAAGACATATATTATTATCATACATGTCTTATACTGTTATAGAAAAAGGCAATGTAGGGTGAATTCTTGAGGCTGTAATCAGAAATTCAGCACCTTGTCTGTGACTCTTTAAGTTTAGCTTGACCTTCAGCTGGTCAAAAACCAAGAGCATCTTGGTTGACAAGTTGCCTTGATTGTATCCAGTAGAAAGGAGAGAGGCTGCTGCTCCTCTCTCTGGAAGATCAGTAAGGGGTTCACTCTGAGTCAGCAGTGGGCAGAGTCACAGTCCATAGCAAGAAGCTTCTTTGTAGATCAGAAAAGATAATTCCTACAAACATTCCAAAGCATTCCCCTATGCAGGGATGAAGAGATGCTGTTTCCTGACATGTGCCCTGGTCCCAGGCTAGGACACATGGCCTGGCCAGCAGAGTTTGGATGGATGCTGTTTCACAAAGCAAAAATCATAAAGCTATTGAGCAAGGCCATGTTCCTGGATCATGTTTAATCCTTGACTAATGATTCCACTAAGAAAAGAATAATCTGAGTCAGAAAAATGCAATGCCCATTTTAAACTACTCATGACCTTCCTGGAGCTGGGGATGGAGCCCTGAACAAAACCGTTTTCTTTTCAAAGGAGGAAGAAAGGAAACAGATGCTAAGTAGGCAATCAAGGAGATTTACTGTAATCCTAAAAATCCAAAAGAGATTGATATGTGAGTCAGAGAGTAATTTAGTAGAGTCCCCCCCAAAAAATACAATCCATGTATGTGAACAGAGCTTTCATTCTTTCTGTGGTGTCTTCAGTCGCTTCTCCCTCAGCTCTGATCATGTAGATTTTAACCCTGTGCTTCCGAACCACGTGTACCATTAGAACATCTAAAATTCAATCTGAGGTTTAGAACTAGAGAACCCGCAGACAGTAATTCTATTCAAATCCTGTTTGGATGAGTTGACATCTGTTACACAAGGCCCTGTGAGCTCTGTTATGTGACCTTAATCCTGCTGGAAGCTCGGTGACTACGCATTTTCTTCCTGCCGTGCTCTGCCGGCAGATGAGAATATGTGTGTTATTGGCAGTCATGTTTATTTCCTGAATGTTTCTGACTTCTCCCTTCTTAATCCCCCTGCCAGCATTTTGCCAAGATGATGAACTGGAATGTGCCAACCATGAATGTGTGCCACGTGACCTATGGTGTGATGGCTGGGCCGACTGCTCAGACAGTTCAGATGAATGGGACTGTGGTAAGCTGCTTGTTCCCGCCATCTGTTCTATGCTCATATGCCTGTCAGCCATTTAAGCTAAATGAATCCTAAATGACTTCATGGGTTTTACAAACCAAGTTCATCTATTTTGTTTTACTGTTATAAAAGCTGACAGTGGTGATTCATGGGTATTATTTCTAAGTAACAGAAAATTTCCCACCAAGTTACTCTCTATCTAAAATGTCTGTATTATATGTATGACATTTTGGGTTTAAAAATGTCATTTGGAACCCCCTTAGGGTTAGATTTTATTTATCACCCACCTTCAAAAGACATGGATAATCAGCCATTCTTGGATCACTTATACCTCCTGGAAAAGGATATGGAAGCGACTTCTTCCTCTGCTCTATGCCTTGTTCCACATCCAGGGGATTTCTGTCTAGTTCCTGCCATGGGCAGGACTTGAAGGCATCTCCAACTAATATGGTCAGTGTGAGAATTTGTAGTTCTGGCTACCTGACTGATTCTCTCATTCCACACTCATTGCTACCCCATTCACTCAGCTTTTTCTGTAAGTCTTTTTTATTCCCTGGCCAGATCATGTGTCTGTGTGATGTAATTACCTGTGTGATGTAATCAGGTGTGTAGCATTTCACAAATGATCTGTGGCTGGTTAGGTCCTACTGAGGTTAGGGATTAGCAGATATACCACATCAATCCTAAGTCAGATCACCTTCTCATACTTACATTCTTGCATTTTGAGAAAAAGGAGTTTCAACTAGCTCCTTATAATGAACTCTGCAAAGCCCTTAAATTCAAGGCAGTGGGGCCCTGCCTCTGCTTTCTTCTAACTTACAAAGTGAAGAACTTCCTGTCTCTTTCACTAGAGTATACAGTTACTTGAAAGCTGAGAACATTTCTCATTCATTTTTTAGTCTCCTGTCATACTGAGAGAGCAGTGATTTGCACATGGTGGGTCCTCACCAAATGGTTCTTAAATAAATCAGCATGAATATTTGCAGTTGAAGCAAAGGCATAAAAATGTATTATTTGGTCTCATGAGAAGAAATGTTTTTGATTAGGCTTTTCCACCTTTTCTTTCCCCTCAGTGGCCCTCTCTAAAAATGAGAGCTCTTCTTCATTCCTGACTGTGCACAGATCTGCGACAAAACACCATGTATGTGCAGATGGCTGGCGGGAGATGCTCAGTGAGCTGGCCTGCAGGCAGATGGGTTTAGGGTAAGGTCAGTAGTTTGTAGCACTGAGCTTCTCAGAGGGTTTCATGGACTTTGGACATGATATCTTCCTTATAAATGAAGAATGCTCTTAAATAAGGACCCTCCAAAGCCTAGGAAATGCATCAGTTGTGAGGGACTCAATTCCAGGCACCTGCTCTGAAGAGTGAGGGCTGCAAACCCACTTTGATGAAGCCTCCAAAAGTAAATGGAGTGATTGTATTTTAAATATTTCTGAAATGAAATACTTTCACTGTTTATAAAAGCATTAAGATGGTTTCCTCTGTGGAACCTGGATGGAAAATTCTTATAATCTCCCCCTCTAGAGGTTATTGAAAATTTCTTTTTAAGCAACACATTTTTTTTAAAACAAGTTGAGAACTAGAAGTTGAAGTTACTGGTATTTCTATTTGTCCTAAGTAATACAGGAAATGTAAACCCAGAAATGATTCACTGGTTTTGCTGTTTAATGGAATGAAAAGGCTCTGGCTTTTATATCGACAGACTGGAACAGATCAGCAACTAACTGCACATTTGTGCTACCCCAGTTTGAAGAATTATATCACTCCTAGAATCTTGAGTCCATCCTTTCCTCCCATGTAAAGACCCACATCTTTGGAAATTTGAGGAACTGATGCTAATCTCTAGTAAAAGAATTTTAATCTTTTCCAGCATAGAAAAATTATAGCTGTCATGATCCATTAAATTATTGCCCATTTTCACAATTTCTTTATTGTGTCTAAATGAAATGCGATATGATACGATTTGATTAGAAAAATGAAAAACCTTTTGAAAGTTCTTATTTTGGGTCTCTCACCAAGACCTAAGGGTATTTCTTAATATGAAAATTCAATTACATAATGAGACATAGCTTCTATTGAGAATTCTGAGGCAAATTCAGTACTACAATGATTTACAACTAGAAAAATCATTTTGACAAGCCACCTTAAATGTAACTGTTGAATTGCAGATACAAGGATCATATTTTAAATATTTAACTTTATATTTTTCCTTTTTAAAAAATTTATTTCTTTTCATTTTATGTGTATGAGTGTTTTGCCTTCATGTATGTAAGTGCACCCATGTCATGCAATGCCTGCAGAAGCCAGAAGAGGGTGTCTCACCCCTGGAACTGAAGTTGTGGATGCTTGTTAGCTTCCATGTGGGTGCTGGGAATTGAACCCGGCTCCTCTGGAAGAGCAGCCAGTGTTCTTAACCACTGAGCCATCTTTCTAGCCCCAACTTCATGTTTTTTTAATTTCATGTATATTAAATTGGCAAAACACGTATAGCAGATATTTCTATGCTAAATGTCAGTGGCATTTGACATAATCACAATGCCGTGCAACTGTTACCACTGTCTAGATCTAGAACATTTTTATCACCACGAAAGGGAACTATGTGTTCATTATGCGATCACTCTCCATATAATCATTCTCCAGACCCAGGACACTGTTAACTCACTTCTTTTCTCTATTTACACTATTCTAGGTGTTTCAACACAGCAAGCATGTAATATGTGAATATTTTTGGTCTGGATATTTTCAAGAATTTGTGTTGTAATATTAGCAAACATTTTATTATTGTTTATAACTAATATGCCATTGAATGGACCTACCGCATTTTATTTATTCCTTCAGACTTTTATTCTGCTTTTGGTAGGTTAGTGTATATGAGTTTTTTTTAATTCTTTAGCCGAACACAGTGATGAATACCTACAGATCCAGCACTCAGGAAGCAGAGTCATCTTTGTCTATATAGTGAGTTCTAGACCAGTGAGGTCTACACAGGGAAAATGAAAAAAAATTCTTTATTCCATTTCCCCTATTTTATTGACTATGAAAGTGAAATGTTCATATTTAAAATCCAAATAGACATATTGGTGTTTTTATTTTTGATAAATTTACTTCATTGAGGAACAAGGAAAATCTGAGGTAGAAATGTGGTTGGAAAGTCATAATTATTATCTGACTGAATTTATGCTAGGTAGCATTAGGTCTTCCAAGACTGACTTCAAGTGTCCTTGTCCTGTTTGAGTGGCTCATACACTGACAGAATACAGAGAGGCTGAATGGAGCAAGAATAACGACAAGATCTGGCCATGTTCCTGGTGTGGAAAAGAGTTGCTTGGGAGGCCACTGTGTTCCCAGGTCTCCAGAGACCAGCTGTGCTCTGCAGAGCTCTGCTACTGATATCTCAAAAGCTTCAAGTTGCCTTTCACCTTTGAGCCATTGTCTTGACAGGCAGATCTTTTGGCCATGATGGCCTACACTCTAACTGGGATGAGAAGGGGAATATTTAGGAGTGGAGATTCTCCTGCACTGGCCTGGCTTTATGCTTTTAAACATGTTTTGCCTCAAAAACTTGAACTTAAGCAGCTCTCAGTTCTGCTCATTCTTCCCCTCCCCCTTTTTTTAGAAATATACTTTTGAGCCTTGATCTAGACTAGGCAATGTATAGCTGGGCACAAAGTGGGAGGACCTTCATCAGGGTGATATTTGGGAAAACAACAAGGACATAAATGTAGATTTATTTTTGTCATTTGAGAATAAGACTTAGAGCAGAGCTCATGACATTCCTACTAAAGTTATACAAGAGAAAGTGTTCAGATAGATAAATTCATTCTGTAAGCATAGTTAGAAAATAGCATTGTAATATAGTATCCATAACCAATGTACTTTACCTCTAAGAAGGTCATTCATTGATTTGAGTCGGTACATTTTGGAACTAGTTCATAAAAAATTCAGTTCTATACCAAATTCCATGATTTTCAGGAATTCCACAGACAGGTTTCTATGGTAGAGGTAGTTGATTAAACAGATGTACATGGGTGGCATTTTTTTCAGACTCAAATTATGCTGTCTGTGTCTTACAGCAAAAGTGGCAGGCCCTCGGCTTGTCTAAGTGAGGAGATTCAGTGCTCTATGTTGAATCTGAAGACTTGCTGTCATTTTTAGGTCTTCCAGAGTTCACCTCAGACTGGAAGAATGATCACTAGCCTGTTGGACAAAGGTGTAAATCAAGACCCTGAGTTCTTTTGACAGCATATTGACTTTGCTATTTACATGTCCAGCATCAAAAACATATGGACATGTATTTAATGAACAATACAAATCAGAACTTACTCTGCCCTCTAATCCTTGCCAAATGCAGGGTTGAGACATCTGGCACTTGAGGAAGTGAGTTTGGGGGAATGTAACCTTCCATGTCTCTTGGCTCTGAAAGTTCATCTCTATAGAGAGTAAGATCATCTGGAAAACTGAGTCTAGGATCTATTCAATTGGCATATTTACTTTATAGAGTTAGTTGTAATTTGATTTTTTTCCCCTTGATCTTTTAAAGTTAGTCAAAGGAGGAAACATCCTTTTGAGGAAAGGTTCTATGTCTTGGGCAAAACCACAAAGACATCATTTATTATATTACCTAATACTCCCTAATAGTCTCCAGTAGAAGGATTTACACTGCTATTTCCTTGTAAGGTTTATTCCCTGGAAAAGTTTTTAACTTAGTATTTCTTTTGCCATATAAAAACTATTTACTCAGCCAGGCGTGGTGGTGCATGCCTTTAATCCCAGCACTCGGGAGGCAGAGGCAGGCGGATCTCTGCGAGTTCAAGGCCAGCCTGGTCTACATAGTGAGTTCCAGGACAGCTGGGGCTACAGGGAGACCCTGTCTCAAAAAAAGTACAAAAAAAACAAAAACAAAAACAAAAAATCTATTTACTCCAGGATGGTTCCCTTACTGACTGACTTAAAGGCTATTAGTCCTCTGCAATGTCAAGTCCAGCCCAGGCTGCTGACTCTGTACATGTAAACCATGGAGAAGCAGCTCATTATATTCATGAGCTTTAAAAAAATTGCATATAGTTATTTTACCATAAATTAACCTTTTTAGATATTCAATATTCCACCTTTTTTCACTGTGTTCACAAAGTTATGCAGCCAATACCATCTGATTCCATAATACATTTTTTAATCCCAAAAGAAATTTCATGACTAGTAGTGATCAATTCTCATTTCTTCTTTTCCAGCCCCTGATGACTATGAATCTGTGTTCTGCCTCTGTGGATTTTCCATAGTGCACATTTCACATAAGTAGAATCATGTAGTAAACGCCTTTTGTGTCCAACTTTCTTCATTTAGCATAATGTTTTCCAGGTTCGTCTGTGTCCCTGAATGTCTCAGTACTTTATTCACAAACATGGAACAAAATTCCATTTTCTGGGTATAGCCATATTTTGATTTTTTGGATATTTGTTTCTACTTTGAGCTATTATTTATAATGCTGCAATAAATATTCATCTACAATGTTTTGTATGAGCATACATTTTCAATTTTCTTGGGTAATATATACCCAGAGCTAGAATTACCGGAGCAAATGGTAACTTATGTTTAATTCTTGTTAGCTTGTTTGCTTTTATTTTTGTTTTGTGACCCGGTCTCCCTATAGCCCCAGCTGGCCTGGAACTCACTCTGTAGACCAGGCTGGCCTCCATCTCACAGAGATCTTCCTGCCTCTTTCTCTCAAGTTCTGGGATTAAAAGCGTGTACCACCATGCCCACTGCTTCAACACCTTTAAATTTTTTTAGTTTTTTCATTTCTGCTTTAGATTCCCAGAAAAGACAGGACTCTTCTTTATTAACTAATTAATTTTCTGACAATTTCATACACGTACATAATATACTTTATCACCCCACTCCCCATTGCCTTTTCTTGTCTGTGTGCTCAGTGGCGTGGGAAAATTTGCCCTGCAGGAACACAATTTGAGGGTTTTTCATCTTTCGAAAAATTGCTTACAGTAATGAGTAGATGCTTGGTCTCTTTATGTAGAAACTATATGAAGATTTGCTTTTATATCACAGCTTCTGAGCTTTTCTGGTAGGCTTGTGTCTTATGTATATGGAATTAGTTTCTTATGCAGTTCTAAGAGATGGCTGTTAAATGCCTAGGTGTAAAGAAAATCTGGATTTCAATGTATATGTACAGCGTTTCCTAGAACATTAT